GAAACTAGATGATCATTGTGGTCCTTTTCAACCCAGGTCATTCTTTAATTCCATGATGATTTGATGAATGCATGATATAAAATAATTCTTATTCTTCCTGAAGTTTAAAAGTTCATTGAATTACATAATGTATGTAGTATACGGACTCAAATGAATGGACAAATAGAGTTCTGATGTTTTAGAATAAGAGCTTTCATTCCAAAAAGATCCAATTGTTATTAAATATATATATATATTTGCTGTCCAGTACAGTGCTCTTTTGCATGTATGTGCACAACAGGCTAACTTTCTGCTCAAGGGTAGAATAAATCTCCTAGAGAAGGAATTTTTATAGGTCATTCAAAAAAACAGTGGATTTATTTAGGACAGAAAATAATAACTGTTGCATGTTTAGCAATTTGCATTTGATAAGCAAAGCATGTCACTTCAACTTTAAATTTTCTAAAACAAATATGTCACTTTGTTAATTTTGTTTAATCCTACTACTTTTCCTGTGAAAAATCCTCCAAAACCAAGCAGTATAAAATACAAAGATCTTTCCTTCTGAGAAGACTAACAGAGTGAACTGCCCCTGCTTCATGGCAAGGTTTAGCCAAAATTTAGTGGGGTGATGGACGAAACAGTGAAAGATAAGAAATAAGATCTATGTTGATTGGAATACTTTTTTCACTGTATTTATCAGTATTTAATGCAGACTGTAATTCATATACATTCAGACTAATATATTTAGTACAATTTAATGTGTTATATAATATCACAGATAATCACCGACAGTTGCATAAATTTCATTAGTTTTGCCTATGAGATAAATCATTGCTATCATATAATTTCCCTTATTATTTTTTTCCTTTTCACCGAATGTTCTACGTGCTTAATTTTGGTGTTAAATTCACTGATATGAATATTTTAAGCTCAAATCTGAATATTTTAAGTCTAGTATGGATTATTTCTATTTCCAGCTCTAATTCCATTTATTATGACGTCAGTAATTCATTAGTCGATTCCACTGTAACAGGAGTCCTCAAAGTTGCCAGTTACTCTTACACATTTCTCAGCATTCTGGTTAATATATGTCATTCTAATTAAGGAAGTAGATCCCAGTAGTTGTTATAAATTGTAACTCTATATTAGAACTTTAACTTTACACTATGCGGAATTAAAACTTTTCAGAAGAAGTAGGCTGTCTTGGGAAACTGAATGAAATCAAAGGAAAGCAAAATACCAAAAGTGAAAACAGCACTGCTGAGTTGTTATGTTACAGCAGTGTGTTTGTGTACATTTCAGGTGAGGGGATAAAAGAAATTACACAGCAGCCAATAAGTCATTTGCCTATAGAATATCCCTCAAGGAACACTTCCGTTCTTATCACATCAGAAATTAACTTGTATTGATAGTTCTCATTCATCCTTTTCTCTCTCTTCCTGTTACTTTCAACATACGTTGTACTCTCCCAGATTGAGACCACAATTCATTGTGACCCTCCTTCATGTAAAACTATTTCTGTATGAATAATATAGCAATTAAATGCCTTACTTCCAATTCTGAGGTTACTGGTCAAATGTTGTTTATTTGTCTTTCATATTCACTATTCTTACATTGCTTTTATGGGTATGCATAACTGCACATGACCTTGTATTTGTTCTTCTGGTAGGTGTGGACATGTTGCATACCGGCTCACAATGTTGAAAGTCATTGGTACTGTATGTTTCTGAGGTCACCCTCCTTACTGCAGTTTATGCATTAGTCTTCAGATGAGAAAGATGCTGAAAGATTTCTTAACAGGGCTTGTAATGACAGGACAAGGAACAATAGTTTTAAGTGCAAAGAAGATAGACTTAGATTCATAGAATGATGGCAGAATCATAGAAACATAGAATGGCTTGGAAGAGATCTTAAAAATTAGCTAGCTCTAGCTCACCTGCCATGGGCAGGGTTGCCACACACTAGATCAAGCTCACAGGATGCCATCCAGTCTGGCCTTGATAGGACATGTGGCAGGGATAGGGCATCCAAAGCAACCTGTCTCACCGTCCTCTGAGGATGGAGATAGGTGACAAATGGTGTTCCTCAGGGGTCAGTACTGGGACTGATGTTCTTTAACATCTTCATCAGTGACATCAACAGTGGGAACAAGTGGATGCTCACCACGATTGCGGATTGACACCAGGCTGTGTGTTGTGATTGACATGCCCAAGGGATGGGATGCCGCGACAGACCTGAGCAGTGGATCCAGGTGAACCTCATGAAGTTCAATAAATCAATAAATTGCTCTGACCCAAGTGCAACACCTTGTACTTGACCATATTTAACATCATTAAGGTCTCACAGGCCCACTTTTCAAGCTTTTCCAGATTCCTCTAGATGTCATCCCTTCCTTCTCTTGTGTCAACTGAACCACTCAGTGCCATCAGCAAATTCAGAAGGTGCACTTAATCTCACTAACCAATTCATCAATAAAGATGTTGAATAGTACCAGTCCCAAAATAGAACCTGGGGGGACACCACTCATCACCAGCTTCCACCTAGATATAGAGCCACTCTTGACAATCTTGACAATCTTGACAATGGCTGTGACCATCCAACCAATTCTTTACCCTCTGAATAGTTCAGCAATCACATTCACATCTTTCCAATTTAGAGATAATAACATTATGTGGGATCATATCAAAGGATTTGGGTTGGATACTGTGAGAGTGGTGAGACACTGGAACAGGTTGCCCCATAAAGTTGTGGATGTCTCACCATGCAATTGTTCAGAGACAGACTGTATGAGACTTTGAACAATCTGATCTTGTGAAATATATCTCTGCCCATGGCAGGGCACTGGACTGAATGATCTTTAAAGGCGACTTTCAACTCAAAACTTTCTATGATTCTTTGATGTGCTTCATTCATCAAAATATTCTGTTAATTTTTGCCTTGTTTACTGAACTAAAACTGATTGAAGGAAATGAAAATGGAAACATTTTCATTCCTTCCACCACAAATCAGACAGCAAATGAAAACTGACATGTAGCTGGAAAGACTAGATCTAGCACGGGACTTAAGTACCTATAAAACCTTTTGATCTGAGTTTCACATGGTCTGTAAGAGGAGTAATTCAAAGCTTCTGGATGTTGATCAG